TCGGTCACAGTCATGGGCTAGTGGGCCAGGGTTCAATCACGGCGGTTGAGGTGTTGATTGCATGGTAGTCCGCATACATATATTGAAATATATATATATATATATATATATATATATATATATATATATATATATATATATATATATATATATATATATATACATATATATTATACAGTTTCCCTGACTTACGACGCAAGAGGACCCAAATCCAGTCAGTCCAATGGTCAAGTCCGATATAGGTAAAAAAAATAAAATAAAAAAATAAATAAAATGAATTTTTTTTTTTTTTTATAACAAAAATATAGCAATAAATAATGAGGAATGGATACAGTGTGACTGAGCACCTCATTTTAAATGTAGTCAGTTGAATGCACATGGGGCCCCCATAATTTTCAATTATACAAATGAGACATATTAACTGGAAACGTTTCGCATAGAAAATGCGCCACATGAAAAAAAAAAAAAAAAAAATGGTCAATCAAGAGCGGCTCGAAGTCCACGGTCAAGGTCAGAGCAGGCTAAGCACCGACGGACGAAGTCCGCCAGTCGAAGTCGGGACTACCTGTATGTATATATATATATATATATATATATATACATATATATATATATATATATATATATACATATATATATATATATATATATATATATATATATATATATATATATATACATACATATGCAGAAGTCTGGTTTACGCAGAACTAAAACTATGGAGTCCAAAGATAAAGCTAAAACGAAATAAAACAACAGAACCCATGGATTAATTAAATAGAGACTACCACAGCCAGAGTAACTTTTCTCGGCTATAGCCAACACAACAGCATTGTAGCAAAAATAACACCCAATTTTACGACGCAGTATGCAAAAAACACCAATATATAATATAAATATCAACAATAATAGGTTTTTTAACACCTACACATTAAGTACAGGAGACACACACAGATTATTGCCCTCACCCGTGCCCTCATCCACCACAGAGGCTAGCAGGGCCTCTTCGTCAAACCCCTCGAAGTCCACATCCTCATCCTCACTATCACTGACTTGGGCTGGCTGTGGTGGTTGGCGGGTGAAGAACTTGGTGATGTGTTGTTGACAGCTAGCATTGAGGTGGTCGTGATACAGCTGAACATAGCGATGATTGACTGGGTCTTTGGCAAGGATGAGCTACATTTTCTCAGCTAACTAGATGATATCCTTCACATCAGCATGTGTTAGTTTCTGTTCTTGTTGTTCTGTAACACCTGGCTGCTCACTGACGTCATCATCTTCCAACATCTCGTCCGCAGTCACCTCAGGTTGCCTGATTTCCTCCAGGATGTCATCGCTGGTGGTCTCGGAGAAGCCTGCAGCTCTAACACTTTGTGCAGCTTCTTTTCCATCCTCCAATGCCACAGCAACAGACTGAACCTCGCAGAAGCCATTGTGTAGAAAGAAAAATAGCACTGGTTCCTGGGTACGAGTGAATATACGTGGCCCAATCACAGTCTGCGACGTCACAGGCGCGAGTCTGACGTCAGCGCTGACATCAGCGCCCAGCACCTCGCCCTGCTGCTTGCCGCGTATATGATGGAATTTACCGTGTAAATAATAATTATCTCCTCTGACAGGTGGCGAGTAAATGGCCATCCGCATACAAGATATCCGCATAAATCCAGAATATATATATATATATATATATATATATATATATATATATATATATATATATATATATATATATATATATATATATATATATATATATATATATATATATATATATATATATATATATATATATATATATATATATATATATATATATATATATATATATATATATATTGGTGATAACCTTAAAATGCAACTGATGGTTTTGATAAGTATGGGTGCCTGTTTATATTTCAATAACTTGATGAATATTGGTATCTGCTGTATCGTTTAAGTCACCATGTTATAATATGTCACTTTATGTTTGGTTAAGTAAGGTTAGGTTACCAAACTTGGTGATAGTTCTTTTCTTTAAAACTTTAATGACGGTTAGTTATATACACTAATTGTCTCTGTAGATAGACCAGTTTGAATGGAAGTGGCCAAGAGGATAAAAGTAACCAGACATCTCTCTCGTTCGTTAATTTTTGTTTCTGTTTTGTGAGTTCAGTAATTGTGTTATTGAGCCTTAAAAACATTATATGCAGTTCATTATGAAACAGGGATTGCTTCTCTATATAATTAATATAATTCCAAGGAAAGCTGCATTATGAAATTGTGAAATTCACCGTTTCATTTACAATATCCTTCCGTATCTTGCCATAATCAAACATTACTTAATTTAGGTAAGTTTATTTAGTAATGCACATGTACAGTTATAGTTTGTAATAAATTATGTACAGTATATGATTGTTCAGGTATACACATCAGTTCAAATTTTCAAGAATGGAAATGCAGTGTACATTATTAAAATTATTACAGTATAGTCTTCATTTATGCAGTCAATTGAACCCGTGTTGGTCCGCGTAAAACGAGAAACGCGTAAACGAAATAACTGAACATATGGGATTAATTGAAATAGAGACTGGGCCGACCTCCAAACTACACTTTTTCCGACACGGTAGTATGTTTTACTAAAAATAGCATATTAATTTTATGATGTTATGCACACACAATTAATATTTAAGAGAAATATCAATAATATTAGGTTTTTTAACACTTACGTTAGTAGAAAAGATGGCTGGCCACACGGGGATGGGGGGTTGGTTCCGAAGCAGAGGGCAGATTATTGGCCCTCACCTGTATCACTTGTATCAATTTTATCACTGTCCACCACAGAGGCTTGCAGGGCCTCTTTGTCAAACCCCTCAAAGTCCATATCCTCACTATCACTGACTTGGGCTGGCTGTGATGGGTGGCGGGTGAAGAACTCGGGAATGTTTTGTTGACTGGGCGACCTTGTGCGCACCCTGCCCGCGCAGCTTCCCACGTAAATGATGGAATGAACCGTGTAAATAAAAATTGTCGGTCTGGCAAGGTACCATGTAAATGACCAAACGCATAAACCAAATCCGCGTAAATCGAGACTCTACTGTACGTACTGTGGTGCAGATAGCCTTAAACTTATTTCAAACACTCTTGTGTGTACAGTATCATGCATTTTAGGGAAGATTGTCTTATTAGACTTTGAAACACAAGGATAATTTTTTATTATATTCATATAATTCCTTGAAAGTTAGGGCATAGTACTTGATATGATAAAATTGACCCTTTAGTAGAAGACATTATTCCCTGTCTTAGCAGCACCCTATGTTAAATGCATTAGGTTAGGTTAATTTGTTTTTGTTACCACCAGTGGTATTTGCCTCAAGCTTTTATAACTTTTTTTTACTTGAATGCTTCTGTGAGAATCAATATTTTTTTTTTAAATACAGGAATACTGTACAGTACTGTACTGTATGTTGAAAATATTGATATTCAGCATTTAGTTTATACAGGGTAAAAAATTTTCCTTTTCATTTATCCTCACTAAATCTTAGAACATAACCTAACTCCAGCTAAATTAAGTTAGGTATGGTTACATTATTTCAGTAATGATGCTAATTATTTCAAGATTATACTGTATTATAATCACCAGTATGTACAGTTCAACAGTTGGCATCATAGGGAGTGAAAAAAATTGTGGCTACTGGAGACACATGGCATCTCCTCGAGGTTGTAAGTTGTATTTTTGTTCAAGCTGGAATGCGACGTCAGCAATGTTACCTAGGTATGCTAATTCCTATCCAATTCGCCAGGCCAACATACAGGCAATTAAACATCTAATAATTACTTAATAAGTAATATTAGGAGGAAACGTAGCTACCTGGCATTTAATTGCAATTCTCAAAACCCTCTCTTTCACCCCCCCCACCATATGCATCACGATCTTAGGAAGCGAAAAAATTTGTGGCTTTACTTTTACTTTTATCCTCTTCGCCACTGATCAGCTCGTTAGCCGCTTGGGCGATCGGTCAAGTCTCTGATTACTTTTCCTTTTCATTTATCCTCTTCACCAAAAGATCAGCTCGCTAGCCGCCCGGGCAATCGGTCACGTCTCTGTCATGCACTGTTGGCAAATACTGGGCATGCACCGGCTCCTGAATGTACCTGAACCCGCTCCAGTGTTGGTCAAGTCTTGTCTTGAAAGAGCTCGCACTCGGTACTGTCACAACACTCTCTGGTAGATTGTTCCAATAAATTGGAGTGATCATAAAAAAGATACTGTCTACTACCTCGAGGAGATGCCAGATGTCCCCATTGCCACAAAGTTTCTCACTTCCTCTGATGCCAACTGTACTTGATTTTCTCTTTATATAAATAAGTTTGAATCTAAAAAAGGTTAAATTAAAAAATTTTCACTGTTTTGCAATTACAGAATTATCTATAAAATGTGATACGGTACAGTACAGGCCTTGATATATATACAGTACTGTATATTGTTTGATTATGAAATGATAGTCACTTACTGAAATGCATCTTTAATAGATCACAGCTAATTTCACCATAAATTAATTAATTTTTATTGTTATAACATATAAACAAAGTTTTTCATATTTGGCAAAAATCACGTTTGTATTTAGAAGTTTGAATGGTTGAATTTGAGCACAAGTGTGTGTGTGTGTGTGCTAACTTGAAAAAATTACAAAATAGTGGTAATTTCTATATTCAGTACATGTACAGCAGTGGTGGTTCATGGTAAAATATATTAGGGGTATTGCAAGTTTCACATAACAGCATAAAATGACATAAATTTGGCTTACTCTGTTGAATAGATAAATTTGGTGTTGGTCTTCCTTTGGCTTTGATTTCAATCATTTCGTTTAAAGTCAACTGAGAGAAATTAATGTTTTGCAAGTATTTCACTTCGTTTTCTTTGATCTCAGGTACAATAAAGTTGAGCAAACTGATACACCTGGATTCGGCGATGTAATGTAGGTCACAGTACCTAAAGTGCACGACCCTACTCCACACCAAACATGGTAGTCACTGGAGCTGCACATACTGCAGCTCCATGCTAGCCATACCATGCCAGTGCCAGATGGAAATGAAATGTGCAATTGCTATGAATGTCTCTTGAAATTTGGTCTGTTTTTCAATGAGAATGTAGTATGTCTGTAATGAAAACAAAATTCAAACTAATTCTTTATGATTTATTGGTTGTCAGCGTATAATTCAGCTTCATGTGTAGATGAATCATATGCCTGACATGACAATGAATGATGGCGGGACTGCAGCTATGGATGAGCCACCACTGCAGTACAGTACCTCTTTTTCCAAAAATTGAAATTGATCTTTATACATTAATGATCATATAGATAATCATAAATACTAGCTATGAATGTATAGCATCAAAACTAACCTAACCGACTTAAGATGTAGTGTGTCTATACAGTACTCTGTTATGATAATGTAAAATGTCTTAAATAACACAGGAATTTTTACCATATATGAACTAATTTCCATTAAGTTATAGCATTAGAATGACATTAATCCTGTTTGGCAACAGATCAGTTGTTTAAATATTTTGTTTTTTCATGCAATAATTCACACTGATCTGTATGCTGGGATGATTACTTAGGTAATCGGAAGACAAAATGTAAGTGACTAGCATCATTATTAACCAAACCAAGTCTGAATTTACCTAACCCAATTTAGTTATAGTTTGGTTATGTTTACTTATTTTCAAGAAGTTATGCCAATAAAGGAAAAAAATTATCACTATTAGGCAAGGAACATCAGTTGTGTTTTAAGGTTTACGTAATTGGATAATTATCCCAATTTTTTATCACACACACACACACACACACACACACACAGAGATAAATACGCCATCCACAAGCACATGAGGCTGCCCACGCCACTCACACGCCCGGATTCAAGCTTTACTTCTCACATGGGCGTCGCAGGCGGCCTCATGGTGGATCTTGTGAAGTGAAATATTACTTTCGAATAATATTGAATCTCTTCAAGTTTTACGCAAGTGTACTAGCAATGCGCACAAAACCATTCTTCTACAGCCTCACTACGGGTCGCTGTTGCCGATGTGATGGACAATCCCACATGCCTATGCTTATCCACACAGCCATTGTGATGTGTGGTAGACATTAGGTGATCACAGTAGAGGGTCGGCAGTAGCTGTGTGAGCAGCGCCCGCAAGTGACACTGTTGTGAGACTTCCCAACTCGAGGTCCTTTGGCTTGTGCACCCTTATTCCATTTACTCCTCAACCCAAATCTATTTCATTCCAATCCACTTTTTTCCTCTCAGACCCACATGGTAGACCCCAAACCCCAACTAACCTTCAGATCCTTTTGGCAGCCCCCTCTGCTTTTTCTTTGTACAGTAACTTGCTAAGATGACCACGGGTGACTCATGCTGTTTACTCGTGCAAAGTTTAGATCCCATGGATCCTGGTGAACCTGGTCAACCTCCGACTATGATGTAGATGTGGCCTGTAGAGGGGGGCGCCCCCTACCCTCTTCCGTCTGCTCAATACTAACATCTTATCTTTCCAACCACTCATATACCCTCCCATTTTATCAGTATCCATTAGATTTCCACATCTGCATTTTAATACTACAGTATTTTTATTTTCTGGCATGTTTTAGTTCTATTTTCTTTCCTTTTCTCGAGCTCATAACATATACAGGCACAGTATTGCATTTCCTCTTGCTTCTCCAACTTTTTCTAAGCATTTAATATTTCTACCTGTATTCAGCTCAAAGTATTTTCTTTTTCTCATTGTCCTTCCATTACTTTTTATTTTGATTACCATTCTCCCTCCACTACTGTTCAGGTTGGAAGAGTGAGTTTTCAGCCCTATTTTATTTTCCTCAAAGGAAATCCGAATTTATAGTGTTGTGATAAACATTTTGAATTCAATAAATTATATTTTCAACCCTGCTTAAGATTCATCTTACTTTTGCTTCGCTCACAATATTTAAAATGCTGTATTCCTACACAGTTTTTTCTTCTTGCATCTCTCTTCTTCCAATAAGTCATGACTTATATTCCCAAACATTTCATTGTTTCCTTGCTGTTCCTCCCACTGTCATGATCCTCCTCCTTTTCCTACCAGGTCTTCCTTCTTGCTGTCATTCTTCCTGTCTCTCGACTGAGTGGGCGGACCCAATAACCTGCCCACCCTGACCGCCAGTGTTACCCATGTAATGCTGAGGGCGTACAGTGTGGGCATGAGTGGGCGCCTGGCCCGCCCACCACTGTCGTGGGAACCTGTGTACACTAGGGTTGTGGCTTGTGAAGCCTTAGCATAAGTAAGGCCAAGACGACTCAATCAACCCAGCCTAATTTGCGTATGCCAAGCTACATTTATATTGGATGAAAGGCCTGCTTGAGCAGGAGTACTGGTCATTGCCAACTGCAAGCTATTTGTAAGGGATTAAGTGTAGCTTGACATATAGTCCAGCCAATAAGATTACAATGCTGCTCCCGCTCGGGTTTTCAGCAAATAAAAATGTATTTTTGCATAGGTAAAAAGAGTGTAAGTTGATGAGTGAGACTGGGCTTAGCATTGTGTAGGGGTAGTGTCAGATTTAAACAGAAAATGCAAGGAAGGTGCAATGTGACTGTGCTCTAGCCCCGCCCCAACGCAATGCTGTAGCGTTGTTACTGGAGGCTTAGCGCCCCGACAATAATGTCAATAACTGTGTGTGTACAAACCCAGTCTGTATTACTCCAGAGTCTAGTTTCATAGCCAGTGTTGAAATATATCAT